TGAATCCTCATTAACATTTCTGCCCATTTTCAGGGTTAATAGGCAAGCTATTGTCAGAAAGGGGCGCGGTGACATGGGGGAACAGCTCAATGTTGTATGCGGTGTTACAGAACAGTACGGTTTTCACAGACGCCGTATTATGACATCACATATTTTGGATGTGTAATTTATTCATCAACTTTTACATTGAGCTTGGCTTAAATACAGCAGCAGCGCCCCAATCTCATTCATTACAACTAGAGAAACTTATGTAGGTAGTTGTGGCTGCAACACGTGATTTTTTTATCCAGTGGTAATAGACCTGAACTGACCGGTGGGATTAGCAGCTACAACAGCTGTAGAAGCTGTAGGAACATTTATAGGATGAAAGCCCTCAGTTGGGTGTGAATTGGCCATGGGCACAGCACCTTTCATAGTATAGATTGTGAGCTTTTTTTTTCTCAGCAGCATACTGCATTGTCTTAAAAGTTTATTAAAATGTCAAAACAGGGGGCGCATGCGCGCGGTGATCCGGAGCGGACATGTTTTGAGCAGCTCCGTGTCCCTCCGGCATAGCAGGGGAACCCGCGCCGCTCACCCCGGCCACATCGCGGCAATAACTGCAGTGTCAGACGAGGGAAGGAACGGGCGACACGGCCATGTCCTCCGCCGGCCAGAGATCCCAGCCAAGAGGGAGATTAGCAGGTGAGAGGCAGACCCGCACCCCTGCCAAGATGGCGCCGCAGCCTTCACAAGCCAGACAGTCACAGCAAGCCTCCCCCTCTCACTCTAACAGAGAGGATACAGACAGCAGGGCCAGCTCTCCCTCCCCCACCAGGGCTGACACACTACAGAAAGATCTGCTGAAAAAGATCGATAGAATGCTACAAAAAGCTCTGCAGCAAACGTCCAAGCAGATCACAGACAAGCTAACTAAAGAAATCCGTGATCTGGGCCACAGAACCGCAGATCTGGAATCCAGAATGGACGTCACAGTGGTAACTCTTGAGACTCATGACAGGGAGCTGGATGCTATGAGGGAAGACAATGCCATTCTCCTATCCAAGATGGAAGATCTAGAGAACAGGTCACGCCGCTCCAACATCAGGATAAGGGGGATACCAGAATCCATACTAGATCTCCCTGCATTCACTACGGCACTGCTCCAAGAATTGGCTCCGTCCATACCACACGAAAGATTAGAGTTTCAAAGGATCCATAGAGCCCTCACACGCCGCAAACCAGAGGGGCCGCCACGTGACATCATCGCAAAACTCCTATATTTTCGCTCCAAGGAAACCATACTCCAGGAAGCCAAACAACCCCTCGTGTTCCAAGATCACTGTTTGCGCATAAGTTATTAATGTATGTATGTATGAACATTTATGTTTGATGTTACGTTCCTTTTGGAAAATTGTTAAAAACCAATAAAATACTTTGAAAAGTAAAAAAAAAAAAAATGTCAAAACAAAAGATTGTACAAAAACACTTCAGCACTCAAACCCCACATTCCCCAAACCTCCTCCCCTCATCCCCAATTATTCCAAAATTATTGAAGATATAGACTTCAGGTATGCGTTTGGTAGAAAGTAGCCATCATCAGGACAGTATGTGAACTCTTGAATAGGCAGCTAATAGAAAGAGACGAGGGAGGTTTTCCTTACAATAAAATGAGAGTGTATTACCTCAGAGACAATAGCCAGAAATATCGGTCAGTGGTTGGACAGTTTATAAGCAGCTTGGTTAGGCTGCAATATAGGAGGGAGAGATGCTACAAAGTGGCCGCTATGGGGCCCGGGGCACGGCTGGGCCATATCGTGGAGGAGAAGGAGGCGGACAGAGGATCAGGGCTGACAGGTAAGAGGGCTTGACCGCCTGCCTGAGACACTGGAGAGCCCACCATAGAGAGTCTATGGTGGGCTCTGCAGGGTCACCCTCAAGTGGGCTGTTTGGGTTATCAGGTGGGCGTAACTAGAAATCACAGGGCCCCCATACAAAATTTTGCTATGGGGCCCTGTGATTTCTAGTTATGCCCCTGATGGTACAGATTATATTTAAAAATGAACATTGTAGTGTAATATCTGAATGAGAATAGCTACAAATATTCAAGCAAATGAGGATAAATTCTATAGTGAGGGGGAAGGGCAGGCAACCGCAAAGAATTAACGTAGAATCCTCTGACCATAGGCTGCCTACCCTTCCCCAAATAAGGACAGCTCCCAAAAAAGTCGAATGACAGGCAAGTCTAAAAGAAGAGATGCTGTTTGATGGAGGTGGTAGGTGGCAATCCTTGCTAATGTGACCTCTTCCTCCATCTTTACCCCTTCCTCCATTATGGTATGGTATGAGGAGCCAATGGTTCATGGTGAAGGAGGGGGGCAAGTGGCTGACAAAGCCTTCCCAGGTGCAAAGAAGCCACTTGTCTGATGTCAGAACTATTGAATGGTAAAAGGAAGAAGCTATAAGGCCTATACTTATTATTCTACATAAGGTAACATGGGCATCCCGGAAGCCATTTTGTTCTTTATATATATATATCAGTATATAAGGTGAATTTGAGTTCCTGGTTTCTGGACAAAAGAATGTTCATCAGCAATTCTTAGAGCCTTACCGCATACATTCCCGGGTTATAAATTGTGGTGGTACCAGACAATAACGAGGAGATAAGGAGTGACCATTGGAACCAGACTGTGTTATGCTGGAGGATTA